TTCAATCTCAAGAATTTAAATTACTTCCCAATTTGGTCACAGTGACAATTCAAATTCTTACCATAGAACTTCAAACAAAACACTCGAAACTTTTTCAAACTTTTGCAAAAAGTTTCGAGAAAGTTAACAAACTCTTTGAAAATGTAATCTCTCATTTTACTATTGAATTTAGATTTAAATTGTTATGAATATTATTTTTTTTTCTTCTTCTATTTACTTAATTGTTGTCTAACTTGTTCTATTCTGATTTAATTACTGGTAGTATCACTGTTAATTACTTGAAGGAGGAGTTAGAGTGGGAGTTGGAGGTGGAATACTAATTAAGACAACAAACTATAAAGCTAATTGAATTAATTTTCAACAAAATTTAAATTGTTTCGGTGAAAATGAACTTCATGAACTTGAAAACATTATGACAATAATAATAATACAAATACTATTACATGAATGTGTACAATTAAAAGGACGTAATTGTTTAATAGGAAGAGAGAGAGAGAAAAAAAAATCTCTATTATCATTTCAATTAGCTCAACACTGATATTACCTGTTGCTTACAAATAACAATTAATGTTTATTATTATTACATTTACATGACTAATTAACCTTTTTTTTGCCAGGTAAAAGCACAGTTGACAAAAGAGGTTGACAAAAAAATGTCTTAATGTTTTCAACTATTCAATTGAAATAATTTCATTCATATAAAGATGAAGATATTATATCAATGATAAGAAACAACAACAACAACTAAATTATAATAAATCATTGTCTCACATGTACTAATTATCATGATAATCATTGGTTAATTAACCATTTTAAGATTTTCATTAGCTGTGAAACATGTGAGACACTTTTAACTGAAAAGGTATTGAGATAAAACTTGTCCACTCCTTATCCATCAGCTGAGTGTTACTTTGGTGGTTGCCTGAGGCGATTATTAACTATTCATATAAACATCTAATGGATGACAAGGAGGAAGAAGAAAAAGAAGATGCTAATGCTGATGATGATGATGATGAAAGATGCAAAATGGATGAAAAAAGGCTATGGTCATGAATTTTAACTAATCTCCCTCCCAAGTTGTTATTATACAAAAAGAAAAGAAAAGAAAATCTCATCACCTTGTATAAGAAAGTTACAATTATTCATAAATATTATTGTATAGAAAATTCAATGATGAGGATAAAGATGAAGGAGATAAAGATTATGCAAATTAGCAAGATGATAAACAAGTGAAGATGATTGTTGTCGTTGCTGTAAATGCCTTCCAATGGGAAAGTAATATTTGCAATATGATGATGTTTTTGTCTTCAATCAATGAGGAAGATAATGATTTCGAGCAACTTTGCTCAACTTTTCTTACTAAATTATCATGAAATAATCTATTATCATTCCCTAATCCATGGTAACGCTTCCCTGATCTCACCTTGAACAAGAAACAAACCAATTGGTTGGTTGATTTTTGGTGACTTTCTTTCACCGTGTATTATAATGGTGATGATTTTTTTTTTCTGCTAATAGTTGACAGGGAAACAAAAATGTATCTGACAATTTAAACTGATCAACATAATGATAATTAAGATCCTTGATCCTTGTTATTGTAAATTTTACACCAAAAAACAAGAAAACAAAACCTTTAAGATAATCATGGGTCTATTAATATGCTGAGAGAAACTGAAAATTGCCACCAACTTTTTTTTTCCTCGCATCTTGACAATAATTTTTTCTTAATGAAGATGCAAATGATTATCAAGATGATGATCATGTTAATTAGTTACTTTTACTAATTGTTTATATCATTAAGATGACAATCAGAAGCAGTGTCATCATCAATTGTCATCTTCATTTGACATCCTTGTCTCTTCAGGTTCAGACGAGGATGATAATTAGGTTAACCAAAAGGTTTACATATAAACCAGGCAAATGATTTGTAAACATAGAAACCAGATTACGATTAAAATATGATGAAGATAATCATGATTGTGATGATGATGATGATTGAATAAGGGGAGGAGTTTGATCATTTCTCTCTCATTTTTGTCTTTCTGTGGTCAGCTGATAATTGGGATGATGATGATAATGAGACCGCCCTTTATAAGAGATGAGGTTACCTGGGAAAAGTGGACATAACCAATGAAGATGAAGATGAAGATGAAGATGACAATAATGATGATGATGATGATGATAACGATGATGGTGATGATGATTAACAAAATAATTTGCAAAAAGCATTTGCAATTAGCTTATATAGCAAACAAATGAGTTTAATCATGGAAACTAATTAATCCATGTTGATTATAATCCTACTCTTAATTATATTGTACCTTTTTTTTATTATCCTCGGATGATCAATGATTAAAACAATTTACAAATTAAAGATTAGTTTTGCTTTTCTATTAATAGATAATGATAATTAAATTATCATTGATATCATTTAGTTGAGTAGCAAATGTTGGCTTCATGTGAATGTTTTAAATTGTTATTGTCTAAATTGTTGTTGTTGTTAATTTGATTGTTGAACTGGTTGACATTGAGACAGAATAGTCTCTCATGAGAAAAGGTTGATGATGATGATGATGACAAAATGGTAGCATAATTGGTTCCAAGATTATTCACCTTGATAATTATAGTTCGATTTATTTTCTCGACAATTTAATCTTGCCTCGAGCAATTTTTTCCTCTTTCAAATGCTAATAACATTAAACTGATACTTCACATGATGAATTTGATATCATTCAACTTGTGCTTCATGTATTCAGGGTGAAAATTATTATGATCTTTGATCTAGTGGCTTTGGATAAGTTCCCTCGGGTCATGTCAAGGTTTGGATAAGTGATGATGATAAATTTGATTATAGGAAATCAATCCGGATGGAAAAAGGTGTGTTCGAACAAAAAGTTTTTCTCTATTCGAACCAATTGGTAAATTGTGACTTATTTCATAATATTAGAAGAGAAATTGTCCCAAATATCGCGATTAATGTTAATCCACGATGATTATCAATCAGAATCGACGATGTATTCGATGAACTTTCGACATGATGGTATTAGCATATTATTTTCGTTATACTTGGAATGTTTATTTTTCGTTTCACTTTAATTCAAATTCTCGTTCTTTAACTATTATTATGCATCTCAGAACGATATCTCATCCACTCAAATGTTAACTTTACATTAAGAATTATTTATCTAGTGAAAGGATTGATAACAAGCTCTTATTGGTTATCCAATCAGTTTCGATTGCGATTCTAGGAAATGGGTAAGTGTCTTATTGAACTGAATCAACTGGCCAATCAAACAATAGAAATAGTCTCATTTGTATTATTTGTATTTATTAAATTAGGCTCTGATGGTTATAACAATATTCAATGTTTCAACAGAATCAATTGTTTACCAGTATATTTTCATGATCACCATGGATAAGAACCGTTTCATTTAGATTGATACAAGTGATGAATTGGTTTTTTTTTCTTGGGCAAATCTCTATGATTAGTGAAAATGAGGATTGATTAAGTTTTTATGGATTAAAAAAGAGGAAATTAAATTGAGAGTGTTAATGTTGACATATTGGTGATGCCACACTTTTCATCGTGTGAATGAAAGTGAAAGGGCAAAGGGTGAGGGTTAAGGGTGTGTGTCTGCAGAGAGAGAGAGAGAAAGAGAGGTTAAAGCATGAAAGGCTAATAAATAATAAATTGAATTGAATGTATGGGGTGGAAAGGGAGAAATTCTGTCAAGTGGAAAATCGTATTTTCTTTCTGGAAAATGCATCAATATCAAATTAGCGATAAAAAGAAATAAACTCCATGGGATCATGGTGAATATGAGATAATATTACATGGTGATGATGATGATATATCTTGGAGAGAGGATGAGAAATACTTGAAGGCGTGGTGATGATCAGAGTAAAGGAAAGATGAAGTTGAAGTTGAAGGAGGAGAAGGTTAAAAAAAAGGAGGTGGAGAGATTGAGGGTGGAAATAAACTAAGAGGGTGATGAGGAAGGATTATAGTGAATTCGAATTGATATTAAATTAAAGTAACACTTGGAGGTTTCAGGTTTGTAATTTAAATGTAAAATAGCGATGATGCTGAAAGAGTATCATAAGGATGAGAAAGTGAACAAGTAAGAAGAGACTGAGATGAGGAAAGGATGAGAAGATGATGGAAACAGTTGAAACGTATCATTATAATTTGGGTGTTATTAAATAACAGGAATAAACATCGAGCTGGAGAAAAGAGATATTTTCATGATATTATTGAATTTGAAAGAATTTCAGAATTTATCAAGAAAAAAATTGGACTTTTTTCTGTATTTTCCAACTTTTTCAAGGTCAAGTGATAATTCTAGTGATGGTCAAGTATTTCATCTCATTTTTTTTCTTTTTCATTCTTTCATTGATTATTTTCTTTCTTATTCTCATCCGAAACTCATTGGACGATTTTCTTTCCGCGTTTGATTGACCCTTAAGTTCATCACTAATAAGAACTAATTTCTAATTCAATGAGTCGAAAAATTTACTTTACTCAATGTCTAATATTTTACTTGACCATAAACGGTCAGTAAATTATTGATAAGTTCTAGAACTTGTATCACTCATGAGTTGATCGAATTTTTTTTGTTCTATATTCGATTTTGTTTCCTTTTCGAATAATTTTTTTCTCTCTTTCTTTTCGTTCTCTCTGTTGGATATCGAACCTGATAGAAATCAGTTGTTAGGTCAAGCTGAAAGATGGTCAATTATTGATAAGCTGACCAAAGAGCAACCAATCAATTATCAACTGACCACAACTGATGAAAATGATCAACAATTAAGATAAGATAAACACTTAACACTTAGCCAGTGGTTTAAATGGTCAGTTAATGGATAACTGGTCAAGTGATAATTGAGAACTCGATAAGTTGGAAAACTTTTTGATAAGTTTACACGATTTACTTTTAATTGTGATTGTAATTGATTGCAAATAAATTAAGACAATTTTGATTGTTGAAGCAAAAGATTAATTTTTTTTTGTGTCAATTTTTAATTTATCAAATTGTTTTGTTTACCTATTATCATTTTTTTTGTTATTTATTTAATTAGTTAGTTGTAATTGTTACTGTAATTAATTAATTGATGATTGTGATTTTATAATTGATTAAGATTACAGATTCCAAGTTAATTTTTTGGTTGAGATTCATGATTGTTTTGTTAAACACACACAAATACAAGGGAAGGGGAAAAGGAGACACAATTAGTTAATTGTGAATCTGAAACATTGATTGTTGATTGTGAACAATTATGATGAGAAGAAAAAAAAAGTTCGCAAAGGGAAAGAAAAAGGAAACATGATGATGATGGAAATGATGATGATGATGATGATGAGAGAGAAGACAAAGTATAAGAGAGAGAGAGAAGGAAAAAGTTCGATGGATTAATTAGTTAATTAATTGAGAGATTGGATTAATAATTGGATTGGGGTCCGGGTGTTGATTGTTGATTTGCAAGGGTCGCCTCGGATTGACTATTTTCTGAATCACTGGCTGAACCTTTTTTACCTTCAGCGCCGGTGTGGGTCTTAACGTGCTTGGAGAGATGATCTGATCTCATGAAGCGTTTTTGACACACATGACACTGGAATCGTTTCTCACCGGTGTGGGTTCGTAGGTGTCGTTGAAGCTCATCGGAACGTGTGAATCTTTTACCACAGAAAAGCCAATTACAGACGAAAGGACGTTCACCGGTGTGCCAACGAAGGTGAGCCTTAAGGTGGGAGGTTTTACCATAGACTTTACCACAGCCTGGGATGTGACAGTTATGGGTTAGCTTTTTCTTTGCGTGTATCCCGGCGGGTCCGAGTCTCTCGGTTTCCTGACAATTGGGACAATCACATGTTGCCCGTCCGGTGTAACGGCGAGTTGATCGTGGTGATGGCACTTGGGACAAGGTGGGTTGGGAAAGGGTGAAAGGTGAAACTGCTGCTGCAGCGGCTGCGGCTGCTGATGAGGCTGAAACTGTTGAAGGTGGTAACATATTTTTATAAGTATCTGGTAAAAGATGTTGTCCTGATGAAAGTAAATGTGCAGCCGAGGAACTTGTTGCTGCCGCTGAGGCAGCAGCGGCAACATTGGCAGCTGATGCTGTTAGTGCGTTAAGAGTTGCTGTTCCTAATCCATAATCGGGAGCTGAGCTTCCATAGTTTGATGATCCTAAAGAGGCTGCAGCTGAGTGTAAAGAGCTAGTATCGCAAAGCCAAGGATTAGCTGAAGCTGCAGAAGCCGCTGAGTGAACATCCCAACAAGAGGTTGGGTAAGAGAGATGATTAACTTCAGCTTTAATTGAGGGTACATGAGATGGATGATTCATATTAAATGACCATCCATAGGGGTCACTTGAGACACGTGAATACATTGACCCAAGATGGGCTGCTTGAGATGCTTCCGCTGCTCCGTGCATATTGGCGGTTGTTAAAAAGCTTCCTTGATTATCACCACTAACGGAAGTTGACACTGAGGTAACTACCGGTGAGCCGGGGTAAAAAAGTGAATCACTAACAGCATAAGGTGAGCTCACTGAGCCACTGATTAGTCCACTGCCGCCGATTGAATTTGATACAGAAGATGATGAGCTGGTTGATCCAGTTGATGAACCGTTTGTTGTATTATTATTGGTACTATTGGAAGTTGAATTATTAACAGAGGGAGAGGTCACTCCAAGGGAGCCACAAGGTGATGAGGAGACCGACGATGGACGCTGATGATAACCTGAGCCAAGTACAGATGAGGTTGGAGGTGGTGGTGTTGGATGTTGAGGGTGATGATGTGAATGGTGGTTATTTAAATGATGAGGATGCTGTTGGTGTTGATGGTGTTGCTGTTGAAGATGTTGTTGTTGATGGTGAGATAGTTGATGTTGGTGTTGTTGTTGTTGTTGTTGTTGTTGGTGGTGGTGGTGGTGATGATTTGACGTTGAATGATGTGCATGTGAATGGTGAAGTTGTGGTGATGGAGCTGAGAGGGAAGGAGAAGAGTAGGTTGGAGATAATGGTGAACAATTAGTTAATTCTGTTAAAGTTGATTTAAGTTGAGATGAAGGTGTTAATCGAGTTGAATCAACATGATAACACTTTGTCTCTGGATTAGAATCACTTTTTATTTTATTGGCTATAATTAAATAATTATCATTACCTGAAGATGATGATGAAGAATTATTTGAATTACTATTACTATTTGATGAACTGTTTGAATTGTTATTACTATTTGTTGAATTGTTACCGTTGTGATTGTTACTGTTGTTGTTGTTGTTGTTGTTACTCGAGTTGTTGTTACTGGTGTTGGTGGTGGCGGTGTTGTTACTGTTGACGATGGTTCCACCTCCTACTCCGTTTGAACTCCCGTTGATTTCTGATAAGCCGCTTGGGGAACTGGTTGATGAGAGAGTGGCTGATTTTTTCCAAGGGTAGAAACCTTTGCCCACTGCAGCATCGGCCAGAGGTGGGGGTGTCTTATGGCTCAGTTTCTCACATTGGGCATTTAACAGGGCCAAGTGGTGATTCTGGATAAGGTTCAAAGAAAGAGAGAAAGAAAGAGAAGATAATCATTAGATAGGTGGCTCTCTAAGGGTCAAGGTAAGAGGTTGGACTTGTGATGGTGAGGGAAAATCTCTCTCTCTCTCTCTCTCTCTCTCTCTCTCTCTCTCTCTCTCTCTCTCTCTTAGTGATAAGAAAGAGAAGACAAAAAAACTCTCCTAACTTTTTTGTTCACTTGGACCCGAAAGGAAAAAAAATCTTGACCAAAAAAAGTGACCTATAAGCCCAAACTTTTAGATGTCAAGGTTTTGCTATTTATTTATTGAAAAGTTTCCACATTCGAATCGAGAATTGGACAAAAAATTAACTTGGACTCGAAAAAAAAAACAATTAAGTTTATCGAATATTAGAACGAAAAACTAACAAGAGATGGCGCTTCAATTTCTTTCTTTTTTTCTTCTAAATGTTTACACAATTAACTTTTTCAACGATCATTAATTGTCTATGATTAGAATTGATTGTGATAAAATTGGAAATTTATCATTATTAAGGATAATTTGATTTGATTTAAGAAGAGAATAGAAAAAAAAGTAAATTGTTTTCTATTATTTGTGGACAATTGTTGTTGACATTTTGTGAGAAATGAAAGTAATCATAATTTGATTTTACGGCGAATTAAATTAATTGTGAATAAATCATTTGCCTGGATAATAATTAACCATGAAATGTATGATTTAATCTATTATTATGATTAGTTAATTGTTAAGAAACCATATCGGATTAGTTGGATAACTTTTTCTTTTTCTGGTTTCTTTTTGTGCCAAATTTTCACGGTTTAATTTGATAACTGAATTTATCTCAATGTTGTTATTCAATTGTGATTAAGTGTAACAATTTAATTGTATGTGTCTGTAAATGATTGCAAATCATCATTATGTAAATTAATTGAAGAGAGCGTGAGACAAATACATTGACCAGTCCAGTGAATGTAAATATAAACAATAATTGGACAGAAATTGTTACAAGTCAATAGGCACTCGTTGGTCACTTGAAACATTTTGTCCAATTGGTCAAGCATTGGGAGAAAAAGTCAAGATGATGTATCAGAGACTAAAAGGATTGTGATTAAGTTAATGATAATCATTTAATACTAATCATGAATTAAACCTCAAGACAATTGAAATAGTGGAAATACTGATATAAGATGAAATCGAAATCTCTTCCAAGATCACTTTAGGCTCTTTTTTCATGATAACTGACCTGAGGTCATTTTCTTTGATTATCTTCATCATTATCCTGATTCTCTTAGCAAATAATTCACAAAGTAACATGGCGGATGATGGAGAGAGAGAGAGAAGATAAAAGAGGAGAACATGTATAAATGTATCAAGTTAAGGTGACAGGTTAAAACGGCTTAAGAAGATAAAGAAGATTTTGTTATGAAAGAAAGAGTGAAAGATGAGGAAGATGAAAAGATGATTTTCTTTCATCTTCCTCTTTCTCTTGACAGTCTTTCTACCCCATAGAGGGTTAACTACAACACGAAACATACACTATCCTCATCTACCTTGTCACTCCTATGTAAAGATTTACCTTAACCCTCACAAATGAACAAATATTATCAAAAGGTAAAAGTGTTGGTCAAACATTAATTCCTATGGTCAATCCTCTCTTTCTCTCTCTCTTCTCATTATCATCTTTTCATCCTTTTATCTTCTTTCTTTTCTTTCTAATTGGTTCCACTATTATGAATGACTTTCATCTTACAACTTTTAGTATTTTTCTTTTCGTTGCTCTTTTTCATCTTCTTGCTCTTCCTCATCCTCATCATCTTCCGAAAAAGAGACAAAACTCATTGTTAAATTTTCCTCGTTTATTTACCTGAGGAATAAGATGAAGAAAAAACTTCACTTTCTCTCTCATTATCTTAATCATATTTTGTTTTTTTTTCAACTTCTTATATCAACTGACCATTCGGACACCATTCAAATCAACTCAGTGTGACGTTAATCACCTTAAAAATTAAGACCGATAATCTTATCCATCGATAACGATAAACAATCAAGCAGGTAACACAATTGTGATCAATTATTGATTAAAATTTCTAGATCAAGGTAAATAAATGAGCATCGACAGTGAGATAATGGTTATGACTATGAGAGAGTGAGAGTGAGAGTGAGGGAGAGAGGGTGTAAAGTGGGTGGTTTTTATGAGGTTGTCTAATCAACGCCCAAAAAACTCCCCACTCTCCACCTTTCCACCTCCTCATCCTCATCTTCCCTTTGGTAAAGGTAAATATTTGAACGTGTAAACATTGATACTGATAAAATTGTTCCAATAGTTAGATAAACTTGATTCAGATTCAATATATAAATCAATATATAATTTTCAAGAATCTCATGTTACTTTCATCATGAATTTATATGAATCCAGTAAATCATTACATCTGAGTTGATTCCCAATGAATTCTGGTCCTATAATAGATGATGATGCTTTTATTATCATCCTGGTTATAGGATCATTTTTATCTTCATCATTATCTTTCATCATCATCCTCATCATTCAGAACTTTATCAAAAATCAGTGAATTCCAATTGATTTTCTTTTTCTTCATTATTATTACTAATTAAACTCTTTTTTTATGAAACGTAATTTTTTTTTATCTTTTATCAATTGAATTACAATTAACTTGAGAATATTGTTTACAATTAATCATTAACCCAATTAATGGGAACAATATTAATCATGTTCAAAGAAAATCAATGTTAATACCTTGAAGGGAAATATTGAAAATCAGATAATAAAGATTGATAATTGATCATTCTGATTAGTTGATGGTTTGTGATTTTGAAACAGTTTGAAAAGTTTAGTTTGTTGTTGTTGATAATCTGATAATGATCACAATTAACTTGATTGTTTTGTAGTGACTTTGAGTCGAAAGTGAAAGTTTTTTTCTTCTTCTTTCTCTTTCTTCAATAAACCGACAAAAACAAGACTCGAACAGAGACTCGGACAAGGTTAAGGTGGAGACAGAATCAAATTAACTGTGAACGATTAGGACTTTTTGACTATTGTAATATACCAGACAGAGAGAGAGAGAGAGAGAGAGAGAGAGAGAGAGAGAGAGAGAGAGAGAGAGAGAGAGACGTAAACACAGGGAGTGGACACAAGTAAAGGGTCAAGAACATGAAAAACTTGTAACTTATTGATAACAAGTGATACATTTTGTTAATGAGTTTTCAAAGTCTCGCGTTGATGAGTTTCACCAGACACGGCAATTGCTGACCAGTGGCTATTTCAGATTATAAATTTCTATTTTTTCAACAAAATTTTGACACTTTACCTGCTTGTCTACCTTTTGTTTTGACCATTACCTGTTGTAACTATTAATAGATTTGCTCATGTTAAAAGTTAAAATTGAATCTCTATTGTTATCCATTGATTCAACCATGAACTAGATTCCTGGGGAGATGATGATGATGATGATGATTATATCTTTTAACTCATCGTCATCATTAACGATATTGAAAAAATAACAATAGACGAAAGATGATAATGAGATGAAAGATGTTGTAAAAAAAATACTTCGAACTTAAAAATGCTTAAAACTTTTCTTTCCTCGAAAAAGAAACTTTATAAAAAATATATTTAGATAATTAGAACTTTCTAGTGAGTTAATTGTGACGATATTTTTACACCGAAAGATTCTGAACTTTTCAAAGGCAAAGAGAAAGAGAACTCGAAATTGTTCAATTCGAAAATTCGAAACTATATATGCTCGACATTCGAAATTCTTTCCAACTCGGATTCTATTATTATTCTGAGTTTACTGAAGCTTATGGTTATTATTATGATATTTTTTTCTTCTTCCATGTTATCAAGTTTCCAATTAAAGTAACTCTTACACTCGATACTGTGTAACTATTATTATGTTATAATATTTACTCTTGTTGTTATTTTATCGATCCACTTATTTTGTTATCTCTCTGTCTCCCTCTCTTTCTATAGAGCAAGTATAGGAAGTGGATCATCAGATGAGTTGAAAGGATGAGGATGATGATGGATCTAGATTCTAGCATCTTATGTCTTATCTTCTTGTACATCTCATCCTATTTGTTGTATTTTCTTGGAATCTCAACCAAGGGATAAAAATGATACCCACACTCAATATTAATCTTATATTCACTTTCCCACCTTCCACCTCCTCCTCCTCCACCTCTTTTCCCACCTCCTCTTCATCTTCATCTTCATCTTCATCTTCCTCTCTCTCTTCATTTCTCTGTATTTTTCTGTACTTCAACTCATGAATCAAATTCAATTGAATGTAACCTTTCAAATCAATAATTGAATCTAATGGGAAACGCGAAAAGTTTCAATTGATCATCAATTACCCAATTGATTAGCGTATCTTCAACAATTAATTAATCAATTTTCCTCTTTGACACAAATTTGATTGAAACTCATGAAAAATGATGATGATAATTCTGATACTTTTTGACTAATTATCTAACAACAGGAAACAACAATTAAAAACTTTTCTAAATGATTAATAATGTTGCCAAATTGGAAACAAATATTTAACTATTGGAATGCAATTAGTTAACTTGAAAAATGATCAATTCTCAATATGATTAATAAATTGTTACAATTGCAATGAAACTTTAATTGTTGTTAACCAGCAAAAAACGATGGAATTTGTTTTTCCAGCTTAACAAGCAAGGGAACTACAATCAACATCTTAATTTCACAAAAACAAATCCAATGATGTTTTCGTGATACAAAGACAGGTAGATGATGAGGATGAAGATGAGGATGAAAAAGTGTAACACATTGATGATAATAATAAGAATGGTGATAATGATGATGATGATGATGAAGATATACTAAGAAGAAAAGAGAAACGCAAAGATGAAGACATTTTCCTCATCCATCATTGAGTCTGTATTGAGATCTATTTTTACAGTTGCATGAGATGAAGATGATGCCAATGATGAAGATGAAGATATATTGATGATTCTTGGAGCGT